TGTTACAGTGCTTGCTTTTTGTTGTTGTTGTTTGTTTTGGGGGGTTTTTTTGGTGGTCAAATCAAATATCCCAAGTAATTCAGTGTTGAATATGAAGCAGCAAAAAATGGTTTAAAAATCCACATATTTAAGATAGCAAATTATTTCCATTGGGTTTTTGATACATTTTAAAAACTAAATAAATATCATGAAATGGCATAATTTCTACAAAAACTGAGTATCTTTGTGTAACATGTGTGATTCATATTTTTAGCTTGTGTCCCTCAAGGTCATCATTTCCATCCAAGAGCTGTCATTTCCTTGCAGATGTCTATGATATGCAGTGCCTCTAATTGTACTTATCAGTGTTAGCAAGGGTGCTACTTTAAAAAAATCTGTACACAGTTTTCTCTCTTAATCACAGACTGATCCCATACATGATGTGCTCTTATTAACGAGAAACTGCTCATTAACAAAGCTGTCTCAAAGCACTATTTCCTAGTACTGAATTTAGGAAGAAAAATGAAATAGTGCAACCAAGTCTTGGAAGCAATTGGCAAAATCTATAAAAAGAATCACTACATTGCAGGCTGGGCTTAAGTTTATGTGTTACTTTTTGCTTTGGTGTTGAACTATACTGATAATAATTAAAATCTGTTTTCATTTTTTTCTAGTGAACTAAATGTAGCTGCTGTTGATGCAAACCTCACATTAGCTGTGTCAAAAAACGTGGCAAAAACCATCCAGTTGTATGGTGTAAAATCAGAGCAGCTTGTAAGTGATTTCCCTTATCTCTAAAATTTAATTTTGTTTAAACTTACTAATTATACAATACTTGACTAACCATAACTAACATCATAATAAATGAACTGTTTTTACCTGTATTTTAGTTGTTCTGAAATAATTTGCATAAAATAATCTTTCCTGCTCATACTATGGTATGAGCCTTCCTACTTTCATCCTCAATGGAAGGCCAAATTTTGTTTGCCTATATGGTGCTAGTTAACATTCGTTTGTTTTTGTAATCTTGACAATAACTTCGAGGCATCTTTTTTTTTAAAACCTTGTTTGTTGCAGACTAGCCGTATAGAGACATGGAAGCTCTGTAAGCAATTGGATGACTAATTTTTCTCTACAAACTTTGTTTATAGATGCTTTAGTATAATGTTCATTGCTTTTAAAAAAAAACATGGTTATAAACAAAATTCAGTATTTTATCTACTAGAGTTTAGTGTAGCTACTGAAAATATCAGGAAAAAAATTCTATGAGACATTTCCCCAAGGACAGAAAGAATCAACACAAACACAATATTTTGCTTGGTGGATTTGTCTGGATATGGTGAGCGGAGGAGAGGCAATAATGGCAATATGTGACTTCGATTAATGTTCTGCAGGAAAGGCTTTAAAAAAATAAAAATAATGCTGTTTGACTAACATTATTGAATGGTATTTCTGGTTATATAGTTTGTGGCCCTAAATTACCCAGGTACGTAACCTACAATGCTGAAGATTAATGGAAAGTTGTCGACTTTTTTCATTTTTCAATAGAATTTCCCCCTTCCACAATAATTTTACTTTTCAGCTTTCATTTAGGTATGTAAGAAAGATGTAAGCATTAAATAATATTGCAAAAAATATCATATGTTTTATTTTTAAAATACATTATCAACTAATGACTGAAATAAAATTTCATTGTTAATGTTTATTTCTTGGCTGTTAATAACACCATTTCTACTACTTTTTTTAATTTGATATGTTTTCTTTCATCTCTCCATATTCTTTTAGAATAGTTTCATTAAAAACATTGAGAAGGGCAGGGGAAGGGTAATAAGGGAAAAGAAAAAGAATGTGAGATAATGAAAAGATGAAAATAAAGTGTTTGTAGATGGGGAGGGAGGAGAGGGTGAAGGGAGGGCAGGAACAAGGGGAAAAAATGAGAATCAAGACTTACATGTAGAGGTACAAGATCCCAACAATGAATGTAACTGTACTGTATCCCTAAAATGTACCAATAAACTCAATTAAAGCTGAAAAAAAGATAAAAACATTGAGAAGAACATAGCTAAATACTAAGATTTTTGTTGGAGAAAAATGAGGGATTTTTAAGTAGAATAACAACTGTGTAAAGGAAATGCTGACTTGAGATTTAGGGTGAAAGCAACATCTTCAAATAGTGAGTTCTTTTTATAGAGGAAAAATTTAAGCCTCAAATTCGTAAAGTTAAGAAGTGAAAGAAATTAGGTAATTAATGGAATGCTTGTTAGTGAGATAAAGGAAAGCTGGAAATTTAGATGCAGCAGACTTTCAGAAAAGGCAACTTAAAAATACAACCTAAAATGTATAATGAGCAGCTTTGGGAGTCCTAAATTTATTTCCCTAAATATTAAAAGTTTCTTGGCTACTAAATAATTTTAGTATACTTAATTATAGCTTTAGGAGAAAGGCTCACAAAAGTGTTTCTCAAGCTAAGTTTAGTGTTGTGACAAGTAGTAGAGTATAACTAATAAATTTTATATAAAATATGTTTATATGCTTATAATGATAAATTGGAAAATATTTTTATCATTACCTATTTGTTTCCCCCTAAGGCTTTGTGTTATTACTTATCAAAAGTATACATCATGTAACTCTCAACCTCTACAAGGACAAATTCTTTGTTTTTTTGGAATCTGAAAACAACCTTTTGTTTGGGGGTGTGTGTGTGTGTGTTTTAGTTTGGTTAGGTGTTTTGAGACAGAGTCTCACTATGTAATTCAGGCTGGCCTTCAACTCATTATGCACCACAGGCTGGTTTGGAACTCACGTGTCCCTCCTGCCTCAATCCCCAGAATGCTGGGATCACAGGCGTGTGTCACCACGCCCAGCTCAAACAATCCATTTTTAAGGGTAAGGTAATAACTACCATTTTTAAGCACATAGAGTGAATCAGGGTTGTGTCAGTCCATTTGCATGTATAATATTATCTGTTTTACAACTGGTGTTGTGAAATGCAAATATTAATGTCTGCTGCTACAAAATGTGGAAATCGAGGCTGAGAAAGATTAGTAGTATGAACAGTACAACACTAGAAGTAGAATTCTAGTGAGCAAGTGTTGCAGCATTCCAATCCAGACCAGACTCTAAGCTTTAAAACTCTTGACTTGTATCCATGTGCAAATATAACACCTTTTTTGTTTAATAAAAGCATGATTGTGCTATATATACACTGTTTTGTAGTTTGCTTATTCATTTTACAGCATGACAGATCTGTACGTAATATGTGACTTATGTGTATCATCATTTATTTAACATCTCTGCCCTTAATACATAGATGATAATTTAGCAGTTCAATTTTGAGTAACAAGGATTTAGCATTGAATTTTCACATGTGAGCTCTAAGCAGTGGAGTTTAGATCTTCTTTTGCAGATTGTGTCCAATGGCTATCAGCTTCCCAGGTGTTCTTTTGTAAAAATGAGATCAGTTCTTTTTAAAATTTCCTTTAAAATACTTAATTGTCTGGTTCTGAAAGCACTTGTGAAGTTATAATCAGTTTACTAAGTTGAATTTTATATTTAAAACACATATGCATGCACAGTTCTGTTAGGCATATATATCATAGCATTTTGTTATTGACCTGAGTGAATTATTTAATGATGAAATACTGGACATTTGTATAGTGTGAAATAGGACTTTTAAGATGTCACTAGACCTTATAATGGACATTTAAATTGGTGTTCTTCCTTGTCCACTCCTTGTTAAAAGAAAATTAAAATATCAGTAAACAAGGGAACAATTATGACTTTCATAATTTGCAGGATTTAAAATTGTTGTAATAAAATTATAGGCAAATATACTAAAAACTATTCCTTTAAATATGTGAACAATTAGGTATTTTTCACCAATAACTGTTACCGGGTGATTTTAAGGAATGACATCTAGAATCTTAGCGTAGATGTCAAGCATCATAATCTATGAAAAAGTACATTGACATATAATTAAGTTACAGACCATTTGAAACAATAATTGGGAATGATGGTTAAGGAAAGGTATCCATTTCAGTACAAGTCAGTAGCTGTATGTGAAATCAGTAGTTTTGGACCCTAGGGTTTTGTTTTAAGGCTTTGTACATACACACTTGGTACTTGGTATAATTTCATGAGTAGCTTGGAGTCTTGATGTTCCTTTAATAGAAGAAAAAACCTGTATAAATACTATTTAGATGATCATATAGAGACATATGAGTTCCACTTTTTAGGTTCTAAATGGTTTATTTATTGGTAATTTTTAATGTTTTCTGCATGAATACCACTTGATGTAGTATTAAAATGGTAAGGATTTATGTCATTCGTATTCAAGTAAGTAAAAAAAATCAAAGGAAATATGAAATCACTTTGGTTATTTTTGGGTTTTAAAAATAATTTTTATTTTATTTTATCCCATTCCTCCCCTCAAGCCCTTCTTCTCCCTATGTACGGAAGATTTGTTATGAAATTACTTTGATGAGTTTTTATATTTCTGCACAGATGAAATGTATCTATAGGGTCTCTTAGACTGAATATAGCTATAATACAATCAACCAGTCAGTCCCTTTGAGTTAACTGCCATCTTGATTGTTTAGATAACCTTCTACTCTTTCCTTCCAATGTTTTTACACTGGACTATTTTAGTATCACTGCTTCTTTCCTTCTATAAGACAGCTTTCTGCCGTGCTTCCCAGACTTGTAAGAGTTTGATTTCTGTGGACTGTTGCGAGCTTAGTAGTAGATGGACTGTCAGGCTTATGTTACAGTTAGTAGGCTATATGGATGATATAGAGCAATGACAAATAATGGTTTTTCTCATGAGATAGTCTGAGGAGAAAGTAAAAATTTCAAAGTTTTCAGTTTACACCTGCCTGAGTTTATATTAGCTATCTATTGCCACAAGAATAATATATAACAGACAGCCTTTACAGGTCTAAAGGGGCAAAGCCAGTTTTCTTTGCTGATCATGGCTGTTTTGCTTAGATGTTTGGCTGATCGTGACCTAGGCAGCTTTTGCCATGGTGAAGACTCTTCTATATGTCTGTAATCCAGTAGCAGTCTCTGTGGGGCTTGACTTCAAGATGAAAGCAGAAGCACAGGAAGCAAAGTATCCTGGTAAGTCTGGCTTGCCAGACTTATTAACGGCAAATAATCTGGGTGCAAACAGGTGAAGAGGAGGGCACATTCGGTATTACAAGAGCTGGGAGGCTCCACAAAGGAGGGTTGAGAAGAGCAGAGGCTCTGTCCCAAAAACTCTGGAACCATAACATATTTGATCAAAAGATAACTTTGATCCACTTCTAAAATATCCTCTTGTAACCACCTCAACACAGCAGCACTTGAAGAAGATCTGTGCCAGTTTCTCCTTCTGTATGTTTCTGGCAGCTGTAGGGGACTATTTCCATGTGGGCACTCATTTCATTTGGACTGGTCTCCTGTCTGCCTTGGACTTCCTAGGATTGATTTGGCTGATGGCAGCACCTCATAGCCATAAGACTAAACAAAAAAGATTGGGGCTTCTTGCTGCATTTGCTTTCCTTACAGGAGTTGGCCTGGGCTCTGCTCTGGAGTTGTGCATTGCTGTCAATCCTAGCGTCCTTCCCACTGCATTCATGGGCACAGCAGTGATCTTCACCTGCTTCACCCTGAGTGCACTCTATGCCAGGCGCCAGAGCTACCTCTTTCTGGGAGATATCTTGATGCGAGCCATGAGCCTGATGGTCTTGTCTTCCCTCCGGAACTTTTTCTCTGGATTTGTTTGGCTTTTCCAGGCAAACCTGTATATGGGACTGGTGGTCATGTGTAGCTTTGTCTTTTTTGCTTATTTTTGGTACTGGGGAGTAAATGCAGGACCTTGCGCTTGCAAGGCAGGTGTAGTGCCACTGAGCTAAATCCCTGGCCCTACTTTGTCCTTTTTGATACTCATATTGAAAAAGCACTGCATTGATCTCTTCTTAGATTTTGTTACACTCTTCAGAAAACTCGTGATGATCCTGGCAATAAATGATAAGGATGAGAAGAAGGAGATGACCACTTATTTAGCCTTTCTCAGTTTGGCTTTTCTCTCTCCATCCCTCATTTCCTCTTTGCACACATTTCAGGTGGCATGTTCTATGATAATGAAAGGCATCTGGAAAAAACAAAACAAAACAGAGGTGGCATATGCCATCTGTCTAAAAGAAAGAGAGCTCATGAACATCTTTTTTATTCCCAAAGGTATACTCTTTTCCTACTTCAACCCTCAAGTATGTATTGGTTTTGACAATTTGCTTTAGAGCCAAAGAAGATAAATTCACTGCTATAGTAATTTGCTTAATGATTTTATTTAATGTTAATATGTTCATATGACTTTTTAAGAAGAGTCCTTTTTGTTTGTTTTTGGTTTTTATTTTATTTTATTTTTTTGTATTCCATTTTGTTCAGGGAGTTTTGTTTTAGCTAAGGTCTTGCTATGTTACTCAGGCTAGCTTCTGATTCTCTGGAACTATGGGCATATACTACTGGGCCTGATTATGAGTCTTTTCTGTAGGATTTCACTTAATGACACTGTGTATGTTGACCCTCTGTCACATTCTTTTTTATTTATTGTCCTAAACTTGTTTTCATTACCTTAACCATAACCACATAATATTCCAAGAAATAGTTTCTTATCATCTATTCTTTCCTCATATTTCTCTTGAAAAATGATTTTTCATTGGTTTTTCTTCTTTATTACAGAGTTTGGAATTTTTTTAGTCTGTGAATAAATAGAATCCTTAACCCATCTCAAGAAATACAAATATTGGGCCAAGGATTTAGCTCAGTGGCACAGAGCCTGCCTGGCAAACATGAGGTCCTAAATTCAATCCCCCATACTAGGAAGAAAAAAAAAAAAGAAAAGAAATGCAGTGATTAGCTAGAAATGCAATGAAATGCAATGATTTTTTTTTCAAAAAATGAAAAGAAATTGAGCAATTGGATCTTGCCCCATAACTTTTCATTGCTGTGTTAATACTTTGTTACCATCAAGAATTTTTCAAAATGTTATTTAGCTTTTCTAGGTGGTTTCATTGAGAGGATTAGTCTGAATTACCTATTCATTTTTTCACTGGAATTGAAAGTCCTAATGCTATAGAGCTTTTTTATCTTTTAGGTATATTATTAGTACTCCTACCCTGTTCTGAGGTATGGAATATTATTTAATTATTTCATGTGGATTTCAAAGTAATACTATTTGAAATTCTGGGAGAGAAAGTTATGTGTATTTAGCCAGAGTTAGGCTGTAGTTCTCTCAGAGAATCCTCCTCTGTCACCTATGCAGGCATAGAAATACACAAAGCAATGGAGTTATAGCCATAGTCAGTAAAGCATATCTACAAAAACATGCATTTGCTGCCTAGGGCTGTTGTAGGCATCAACCGTTGTAATACTAGTGGAGGTTGCTTTGCAAATCGGACTGAAGACAAACAGTGCTCAGGAATTGAGCTACAGTATTGCACTGTAACTGAATCTCTTCTTTGCCAGCATCTGATTTGATTCTGAATTGAGATCTGCAGTAGCAGTGGTGAAGAGGAGGGTATGGGAAGGCTGTCAACCCCACACACAGAGACAGAGAAAGTGAGAGGATACGTGAACACTTCTTTTTGAAAACATTAGGGTGCAAACTGAAATTCAGTACATTAGAGTTAGAGAGTTAATTTGTATTTTAGCAGCTATTAATTGTCTTTGATTATCCTTTGCTGTATCCGACACAACATAATTTTGGGCAGCTGACTTACTCAATTCACAGGTGTGGGGTTGTGCCCATTTGGAGTGTTTCCTAAGGCATACCTAAACGAGGGCAACAACAAAATAGTGGCATATGGAAAGATTCTCTCTGTGAAGAGAGTCAAGAAAATCATCTTTCTTACTGTCTTGGACAACCTTTGTAGTATTTTTCAATAACTTAGGATATAAATTGCTAGTGTAGCAAATTGTTTCAGGGATTCTTTGAACTCCAGAAAACTATAGAATATTATGCTGCATACATTTTTTTCTAGGAGAATGCCCCAACAGATATCAATGAAGTCCGTGACTCTTTCTCCTACAACAACTGAAAGGTCCCTGGAAAATTCCCCAAATATGTGGAAATTTTTTTAGACAGGGTCTCACTGTGTAGTTGACACTGACCTTAAACTCACTATGTAACCCCATCTGGTCTCGAACTCACAGCGCAGTCCTCCTGCCTCAGCCTCCTGAGGGCTAGGTTTATAGGCATGTGCCAGCACACCCGGCTACACAGCATACTTTTAAATGATCCATGAGGTCAAAAAGATTTTAAAAAAGACTTTACTGAGATACAGATGCATACAGTAAAGTTCACACATCTGAAAATAATTTTAATTGTGATAAAATACACATCATATAAAATTTACCTTCTTCCTAGTTTTGTGGTGTGCATTTACAGTCCCAGCTACTTGGAAGGCTGAGGTTCAAGAATCACTTGAGCTGAGAGGGCAACATAATGATTATCTAAAAATTTCCTGTATTAATTGTTTTTAGTTGTACAGTTTGGTAATGTTCAGTTTATTCACATTGTTATGCAGTAGAATATTCTCATCTTGCTAAACAGTGAAAAAGGTTCATTGTTCACTGGTTATGTCTGAGTTCAGTTAGATGGAACATACTGAAGCACAAGCTGCATAAAGTGGACTTATCACTTACACATAGGCAGCAAGAGACAAGAGGAGCTTTGGATTCATTAAAGCAGAAATGGCTCAGAAAGCTGCTGCCCAAGGTAGGCAGTCTCACCCAGTGGCGCCCCCCTTGCACTGCAGATGAGGAACTCTGAAATTGTTGTATCTTTCATGATTGCCTTTAAAGAGGGAAAGCTTTAAAAATATTTCAAATGAAAATGCAACATGCCAATATTTGTAGGATACAGCTAATTCACTGAAATTCAGAAAATGCAATGCTTACTCAGTTGAGAATTCTTTTGCTTAATTCAGATGGAAATCATGAATTGGCAAATTGCAGCTCCCTTAATTTCAGGTTTTGCATGCTGGTGGCTCTCAGCCCTTTCTGTGACAACTCTTAGTGTTATAGCTCTTGGCACCCACCTTCTGGCCACCCTCACCTCCTCAGCAGCTGAAGTTTGTAGCCCTTTTTGCAGCTTTCTACAACTCTTCCAACGATTTCTGCTGCCTCTTAGGGCTTTCCACAGGTCACTGCACATCTACAGCACTTGTTTCTGGAACTCTTGGTGGCTAGTAGTCCCTAGTCTTACCAGCTACTTCTAGCACAACTGACTGAGCCCACTCTACTGGAAATAAGAATCACAAGTTCCAGAAAAAGGTGTAATTGCGACGTGTACTGCACCACAAGAGGATAGTGTACAGAACAGAGTCCCTCTTTACTGAACCTGTGGTGTGAGGTAGTGCTGCTTACATAGAGTAGGACTGGCCAGTGTGTGTATAGTTTTGTACAGTGTGAGGACCAGGACAGAGAGAAAAACATCCTCTGAGGAGCTGAATTGGTGTCACAATATCCATTCACAAAAGTATGCCCTGCACTCATAGGAAGGTCTCCTAGCTTAGCATGGTTAGTACTCTAGTTTCCCACTTCAAGACAAATTAGACCAAGATGAGGGGGGAAGAATATCAAAAGGTCCTGGAAACAAAAGAGCTTACGCTTTAGGAATTAGGGAAGTAAGGCACAAAATTTCAAAAGCTTGTTAGCTGATGAATCAGTGAAAGGGCAAGCAGCTATATATTTTCTATAAAGCTCTAATAATAAGTCACTTTTGAAACAGAAGAAGTTTAATAGCTTGGAAACACTGCTCACTCTCACACTAGTGAATGTCCATGATGGTTAACTTAGGTAGACTTTGCCTGAAACCAGAGAAGTGTGACATACATTATAGGAAGATTTTCTTGAAAATATTTTTTGATGGTTTTAGCACCCAAGAAAATTAGTATTATTTACCACAGAAGTTTAGTTAGGTTATGTCCTAGGGAAATAAGCAATTGCTATGTAAATCTATGAATTTGTTCTTTGTGTTACATTTCCAAAACATATTCTAAATCTGAAGATTTCAAATGAAATACAACTTATAATGCATTACAAACTATATTTAACATTAACACATTTGTGGGTACACCTATGTCTGAACATAATTTTTATTTATATAAGATAATTGGCATGATAAATTATACTTAATCTTAATTTTTTCTATTTAAATCTAAGCCAAGTAATCTATGATTAAAGCATTTGATATATAAGCCAAAATTAAAATCATTTATTTTCATTTGTGTCACAGATTAGTTTATTGAAAAGTACCTTAAAGAGATTATTTTCCCCAGAATTCTTCCTTTGGATAAGAGTAACCAAAGCAGTTCATTTGCTCATTTTGTCTTAAGTTTTTCAAAGAAGTTTTATCTTATGGTTATTATAGATGAAATTATCTTGTATAATAGTTTCTTAGTATATTTAGCAAGTGAGCCTTCTAAATACTTCAGTGAATTCCAAAATGCTCTTTATTAGTGTTTTATTCACTTTCCTCTTCATTTTTACTTTCTGATCTTTTTGTGGGAATGAACCACTCATAGACAAATCTCTTTTTTAAAAAAGGCCGGGGTATTTAGCTCAGTGGTGCTGCTGCCTGCCTCACAAGTGCAAGGTCCTGAGTTCGATCCCACTACAAAAAAAATATACTGTAACACAGGATCTCCTGTTGTACTTTATTCCTTCATGTGAGTTGCTTAATATTCTCAACTATTTCCTTTGTCTTAGTATGTAGGGTTTTCTTATTTCTTTGTAGCTGCATACTACAACTTTTCTGTATTGTTCTCTTGGGATACATTGTTGGTGGAGGGATATATAAAGAAACAGCAGTTTTAAAACTCCTGGAATGTATTATCCCACAGGATCTCATGGCCTAGAAACCCCTTAGATGAATCATAGACTACACCTGGGATCCTTGGATCCAAAGTACTGACAGGGTGAACATCAGGGATTACCAGATTTCATCTCTGGGTCCAGCCTAAGAGCCCTCCAGTCACTTCTGGGAGTGCTGCTTCGAGAGGCCATAGCAGCACCACCAGTTGACTCCTGATGTCTTTCCTTGCATGGCAAAGAGAAGCAACAGTGTGAGAGCCACATATTTGCTTTTCCTGCTTAACATTAAAGGAGAGCAATAATAATACTTTCCCTTTTTGTGTGTACTTTTTTTTTTTTTGCTGTGAATCCTAAAATTAGACAGAAAGCCTACACTAGTTCAAAACATTTTATCTTACTAGAAATTTTACATTAAGAATTAATTTGGTAATTATACAAAGGTTTATTATTTTGGAAAAACAAGTCTAGATATAACTGAAGGTTCATCAAAGCTTCAAAGTTTTTATTAAAAACACCTAATTTGACTGTAAAAATGTTCATTCATTTTTATTTAGGAAACCTTGGGGATTAGTATACATTTCACTTTGTTTTGCATTTTTAAATCTATGAAATTGTAATAGAGACTTATTCTCAAGTATTTTCTGTATGCTTACAGAGAAGTAATTAGGATTATAAATAATCCATGAAAAAGGAATTATCCTGTAGTCTTGACATTTTCTTGGCAATAAAGGAAATATTAGAGATCCAGGGATTTAGTTCAGTGGCACTGCACCTGCCTTGCAAGTGCAAGGCCCTGAGATCAATCCCTGGTATGGGGGGTTGGGGGAAGTGTAAAAGAATAGAAATAATAGGTACGTAGACCCTTAACAGTATTTCCACAATATCTGTAAAGTAACTACGCTTTTGTAATTCATAAGTAATTTACAATATATTATTCTTTTTAGACATTTTTCTGAGTCAGATTTATAACTCCCCACAAGTAATTTTCTCTAAATTTTCTATATAGAAATTTAAAGCTGTCATCCGACTCATTTCTTGCCTTGCCAAATTTCTTTTACTTTTAATCTTCAGAGGTGATGATTAGGCAGATCTTGGTCAGTTCATCTGCAAATTAACCATTATACAGACCTATTTTCTATCTAAATTCTCACTGGCTACATAGCTTGTCAGTTTCTAACAGAAGATGTACAGAATTTAGATTTCTAAAAAATATTTTGTTCAAATAATTTACAAAGGAATAATATGTCATTTGTATAGGAAAATTGTTTTAGTAATTAAGAATTTGCTTTCTTTTTGGATTCTCTCATGTGAGTTTCTGCCTGAGTGTGTGTTCACATAATGAGCTGTAACTCAAATGTAACTTCTGGTTTTTAACATCTTTCCAGAGTATATTGGAATGGTGTAAGGTGATGCCCCTGTATATATATTTTAGAATATTCATTCTCTCCCTTCCTCCTCCTTTCCCCCCACTCCTTGACACCTTGCCGTCTTTCTGCTTCAGCCTTTGAAGTCCTGGGATTACAGGTATATGCTACCACACCCAGCTCAGAATGCTGAATCTCATTGTTTCCACTTTCTAGTCCTCCAGTTCCAGTGCTTCACAGCCATAGTTATATTTTTGTACCTTAGTGCAGTTCTTTTCATCTTGCGAAAGTTGAACATTGAAAGAATAACCATTTCTCTGGCCCTGAGTCACTTAATAGATGTATAATGAGCATCTTCTACTTTATGTACCTTATGAAACTTTTATGTGAATTAGTAAAAAGTAAACTGTAAGGAGCCCTAATGCAGGGAATATGGCAACAAAGTTACAGTGACTCAAGATGACTGTGGGATTCTGAAATAGAGCACCTACTGTGTGCCAGATGCTTTGTTATATTGCCCCAAGTGGAACAGAACCCAAGCTGAACTTCAGACACTTTCACCTGTGTTTGAGTCCGATTCCCGAATCTTAATCTATGTCTGTAGTCCCTGCCACTGAAATAAAATACAGGTGGGAAGAAGGACACCAGGGAAGAGTAAATGAATAGAAATAAGAATGAGCCAGAATTGTCCGGAGAGACAGTTTACACAGCCTTCTTTGCTGTAAGCTTTATCGTTAGTTCCACATTGTCCCTGGAAGTGACAAGCTACAAGTCACTTGGCTAGCAAGTGGTAGAGGCAAGTCTCTCTACTCTCTCAAATACATGTAGTGTTCGTCTTCTGCAGATAGATGTTAAGA